ATTTATAAAAATAAAGTCCTTATTATTTTGCTGATTACAAAAGTAATACGGGTGCATTGTAGGAAAAAATTTTAATTAGAAAAATTAATCTTGGTAATCACAAGTTCCCTTGGCTGGGTTCACGTTCACCAGCTAAATCATTCTTTGAACGGATATTTTCTGAAGCCTACAATGTGTAAGAAAATTGTCAAAGGTCCGAGGGTGAGGTCTACACAATGGCCCAGATGATGCCCTTGTCCTTGTGGAGTCAGGAAGGGCCAACTGATGAGAAGAGGAGCAAAGCTAAGTGGGAGAGCTGCGGGCCAACCCTAGGCCATGGGCCACAGCTGTGTTCCGGGGAGGAAGTTTACTGGAGGGGGCTTCCGGGGATCTTAGGTCTTAGACACAGAGAGGTGAAGGGAGAAGGGATTCAAGCTGGGAAAAAAACACGAAGAGAAACCAGTGAAGATGTGTTTGGACTCTGGACCCGGAAGGGGCCTAGAAATGGGCTCGTTCAACATTGTATTTTCTAGAGCAGGTAACTTACCCTTTTCATCCGGTGTTCAGTTTATTTTGCAAACAATGACTTTTAATATTTTGATTTTAAACACCAGCAATTTGAAGTGATAGAACATTGTCAGAGATAAACAAAGCTGGCCACTAGTTAAAGCAGTAAGGATAGATTTTATTTAGTAATAACTATTGCAAGAAGCAGGAGGGTCCAGCACCAATGGAGCTTAACTTCAAAAAAACAGAAGACAGGAGACCTTTTAAAGGCTGCGGTCTGCTAAGGAAAAGGCACTGAGGGGCATCAAGGGGGGTTAGTCCATGTGACCAGGCCACCTGGATTTGCTAATTGGCACTTATTCAGAGGAGAAACAAATTTCTTGAATCTTTATGACAGGAGGCAGTGGTGCAAGTTCGAGCAGGCTCCCACTCAAGTTAGGTCCTTCACCTTCCCACAGAGACTGGGAGACAGTTGTATCCTTGGAAAGCCTACTATTCAAAGAGCCAGCTCGCAGTCCTGGAGAAGATAGTTCTGGCTGATTAGAAGATCTACATCTCAAAGAGGCAGGAAAAGGGTTTATAATGACAAGGTTTCTAATGCAACTGCTTTAAGAGGGGGTTCAGGGGCCCATCTGCCTATTGCCAGGTCTTGACCGAAACAAGCAGTGAATTCTCCTGGCAGCCTTGAGCTTTCTCAAGCGGGCATTTTAAGGGGGCCATCCTAGAGACACAGCCTTAAGCTGCCGGAAGCCATGCTAGAGTTTGGTCAAGGAGAGAGTCTTTATCAACATTCAGGTGAAAAAACCATGGATTTTACTACCATGAGTTACCTTGGGACTTTGGAGACAATGGTTTTGGGATAATGAGTGGAGCAGAAGCCACATTTCAATGTTACATGGTGGAATGGATGGAAAGCATGAGCAGGCAGATTAGATATAACTAAACCAAAATAACATAAGAAGGCTGGAGGTAGAGGGTTGGGTAGGAAAATATTTTTAAAAATATTTAAAAAAGGAAGACTAGTTCATACTTGAAAAATATATTGCGCTATCTTCTAATTCTAGTGAGAACAGTGGTACAATTCCCCTGTCTGATTGTAAACTCCTTGCTTTCAGGGCTCATGTCTTCTACTATTTTGTGTCTCCAGAACCTGACAAATACTGTGCAGAGTGGGTACTAACAGAACCCTTTATTTGTGACACTACAATGGTATATCTTGCTTCCATCAAAGACAATGGCTTCCAAAGTACCTTTGTAGACAAATGGTGGAGGTCCAGGCGGGACAGAAGTATCATCTGGTGGGTTTCTACTGCTTGAACAGCAGAACTGAGCCAGTGTTAAACTGCTGGGTGATGTACCCCTGGACAGTCATCCTTCTTAGCCACAGCTCTCTCTTCATCATCAAAGATTTGGGTCAAGACATACAGAGTAGCTTTAGCTAATGTGTTCATAGAGAAGGGTTGACGACAGGTCAAGTGTTAAAATAGCTCCAAGTACTGAAACCAAGGATGAAATAAGAACGTGACAAGTGCTAGATTCCGATCCTTCTCTAGCTTGTCCTAGATAACTCCAAGATTATGAAGTTGCTTTAAAATTTAGCACGTTGACCACGGAAAAAAATTCAGTATCCTTTTCATGGATGTGCAAAAATGCCTCAAAGGACTTGACACATCCACTGATTTATATTTCAAGAACCAGCTTCCTGTGGCACATTGAATAGCACATCTTTTGTAATATAACTATTAGTGAAACCCCATCCAAATATAAGGACACAGTGCGCACGTGCTGGACAATAGTCTGACGCATTCAGGTACACCACTTCTACGCTGTGGGTTCGGGCCCAGGTGAAATAGGAGTCAGACTTTTCCTCAAATGTAGTTCTCCTGGCAGCCAAAGAATGTGCCAGGGACTATGGCGATGGCTGCTTATTTTCAGAGCATATTATTTTTCTTAGCTCCTCTTTCTTTGAATCTTTTATACTAGAAAGGGGAAGTGTAGCCTTCACTATTGAGAAGCATCCTTTTTTTAAAAAAACCAAATTTATTTTTGTTTTTTAAATGTATGCTTACTGTGAAAACTTTGGAAAACACAGAGAATAAAAGCAGCCATAATCCCTCCCTACCACCCACTTCCCCCCAAAATAACCACTTATGACATTTTGATGGGTTTCCTTCCTGTCTTTGTTCTATTTGTTTACATTATTTGACCTAGTTCATATTGTGGAGACAGATTCCTCTCCTTAGGGTTTTGCTAAAGGTCAATGGAGCCAGCTAATTAACAAGAAAACAATCACGCGTTACATTTGTATAACTGTCTTACCAAAGCACATTGACATCCGTCCTCGTTTGGGGATCACATCAGACAGACTGGATCATTTATCAGGAAATTAAGATCTGGGTTGGGGGGGGGGTCTTCCCCCACACCACATGGCTGGGAGGGGTCAGAACCAGAATTTAAGGTCTGTAGACTTCTCATCTAGAGATTTTCCCCTACAATAATTTCCATTGTCCTTTCCAATTAAAGTCTATCTATCTCTATGTACAGAAATTCTGTTTGAGAGCTAGGACTTCTACTTCCTGTGGTTTATTTTTGTGCCAGAGAACACATTTGTATTTAATGTGTCTTCTGAGCTGCCAGCCTGGGAACTTTGCCACCATCGCACGCACTGCAGCAGCTTGCTCACGGTGCACCAGTTTCCTCTGTCACCTGAGCAGCTGGGCTTGGTCCCTGGCAGCAGGCATCTGGGGCACAGAGCTGCCTCTTAGGCTGTCTTGTCAAAAGAAGAAACTTGCCTCCCATCGTCTCCCCAAGTACCTGCCTCAGCCACCACGTGTGTATTTGTAGCTGTGCTGGTAACTAAACCAGTCAGCCCCTGCTGGGAGTATGGACATTTCAATAGTGAGCTTTCTATGTAAGTGGTACCTTGACCATCTGGCTCGCACCTTCCTGCCTAGCCCTTGCCAAATTTCTCTACCACAAAAACCAGTTCCGTATTTGCTAAGGTTTTTAATTTCTGCTTTTCAAACTTTTGGTTTTGACCTCTTTACCTATGTCGTCTTTTCCCCCCTAATGCCAACATTTTCTGTAAGTCTGTAAGATTAGGCAGACTTAATTAGATGAAATCTACAGTTTCATGGAAGGGAATATTCACAGTAAATTAACTTTTGTTTTCCTACGCATAATCTCATCAGATCCTCAAATCATTGAGATTTTGGGTTTAACATCCCAAATGAGATAGGCGGTTAAAAAGAAAAAAAGAGGCAGGGGGCGGGGTTGCGGGGTAAGGAGGCCGTGTGAAGAGAAATCAGATGGGAGAGAGACCATGTGAGACTGAGGAATTTCTGAATAGAGCATTGTAGTAACAAAATAAAATGTTCCTGTGACACTGACGCTTCACATGAATTATGAATGTCGTGAAAATTATCTTATCTGATTATTGATGTTTGACATATATTTCTCTTGCAATTTGAAGCTATTTCTTCAACAGAAAACTCAGTTTTACTTTTAAATATCAAAATATTTAAATATTTTAAATATTATTAAATTAAGAATTTATTTTCATATAGAATTCTTAGAGTTTTTCTGAAAAAATTATGGTCAGCCTATTCTTTGGACACTCAAACCAGCCAACTGCCGTAGTCGTCATTCTTCATTCATGGCAAGCCCCCGGCAGTTATGTTTGGAACTATTTATGTCAAGGTTCTAATACCATTTGTCTCTGGATTTTGCTTTGTTTTCTCTTCTATCTGTTTGAGACCAGTGAAGAGCTCATATGGCAATTAGAAAAACAGCAAGGCTAGTTGCTGGGATGTGAGTGGGTTTGTGAATGAGCCAGTCTTGGTGGCCCGAATAGTGGCTTCAACCGCCTTCTTGTCTGGACTCTGATCTCATCACTCTCAGCATGACATTTGTCACCCCTGGACAGAGCTGTCCCTGAATCCTTGAGCAGCATCCCTCTCTCTACAAACCCCACTGCTCTTCAGAAAAGGTTGATCAAGGCCTGCGGCATTTGCGTGACTGTGCTGAGCCAGCCACAGTCACTCACGCTAGCCCGCCACGGACGCTGGTCACCTCAGCACAACCAGATGTTACCATAAGAGTCAAGCAACCAAACTATTCTTTCTGCTTCAAAGTAGTAGAAATTTTTTGATGGAACTCAGCGGTGTTTTGTTCAATTTGGTCAAGAATGAAGTCGAGTGATTTCAGCATTGAATTTTCCAAGCAGGTTTCTATTTATCATCCCTAAATACCTCATCTCAATAGTGGAAGGCAAAAAAAAAATTTTTTACCTTATTTTTTGGTGCCAACTAATTTCCATATAATGGCCTTCAGTCCCCACTCATCTTACTTGCCTTAACTAATTGCCTCAAATTTGTTCTTTGATTTCAAGCCTGTTCTCCCAGTGGGAACACCACCTCTTCCAGATGTGGAAGAAAACATAGGTTTCTTGGGTCCCAAAGAGTCTGTTCACAAAAGCCCTGCTTCTTCACAAGGTGGAATCAGTGACATCTTACCTGAGCTCATTTTCAACCCTGAATCCTTTCCTTCGGGCCAGCTCCATGAGGAAGGCTCTGCGGGTGGTTCCCATTTTCTTCTCCAAAATGAAGAGGACCAAATCTCGGAACTTGATGTCATGAGGAGGGGAGGCCATTGAGGTACTCATCTGCCTGGGTCTCTTCTTCCGAGGGCTCGAGTGGGCCATTTGAAACGGATCCATGGGAAGAGGCTGCTGCTGCTTCAGGCTGTGCCATCAAGTGGTGTCTCCAGAAGCGAGGGAGGGCCTGCCCCTCCTTCATGAAGAGCTTTGATGTCATCTTACTGGCAGACTCTGAAGCCAGGGCAAGGCTTCCTGGGCTCTGCCCTGGCGACAGCTTCCTGCTGAAGAGCACTGGGGAATTTCTATCTCTGTTCAGTTCATTTATTCCATATGGAGATCACAATGGAAACAGTAAATTAACTTTTGCTTTCCTATGCATGATCTCGTCAGGTCCGCAGAATGACCTTGTGAGGAAGGTAAGGAAGCTTCATTGTTCCCATGTTATTTATTTATTTATAAATTTGTTGAGGTCCTTTTTTGTCTTTTTTTTTTAATCCCTTTTTAACCTCCCAACTCCCTTTCCTTCTCTATTTCTCATAGACAATCATTACAATACATTGGATTTCTATAGTTTGCATGAGTGTTATGCGTTGTGTGTGGTTGTTTTGATTTTACATAAATGGAACTGTTATATTTCTCGTTCTGCTGATCACCTTTCTTTCACTCAGAACTGTGTTTTTAGATCCATCCGCACTGCTCTGTGTTGTAATCTGTTGCCTCTAATTGCTCCATCATATTTCATGGTGGACACTTTAACTATGTTGGTGCTTTTTTTTTTTTTTTTTTTTGCTGAAGAAGATTTGCCCTGAGCTGACATCTGTGCCAATCTTCCTATATTTTGTGTGTGAGTGGCTGCCACAGCATGGCCACCAACCAGTGGTGTAGGTCCGTGCCCAGGAACCGAACTTGCGCCGCTAAAGTGGATCAAGCTGAACTTAACCACTAGGCCACTGGGGCTGGTCCTGTTGGTGCATTTTTTAAGTGAGGAAACCAAGGCTCAGGTAGTTTACTCAAGACCACAGAATAAGGGGCAGAGCCAGATCTTCAGTTTTGGTCTTCGGGCTCCAAATGCTATATTTCTCAGCTTTTTCAGGGGAGTAAAGGTTGTCTGGAGAGTAGTCTATTATATAACTCTAAAAGTGATCTTTTGGGATGGAATAGGATGATCGTTAGATGAGAACTACTGCCATAAAGAGACATTTTCATAACTTTATGTGCCAAATATAATTAGTGTCTTTCATCAGTACACTTGATAAATCCCATTTCCTGAGCATCTCCTGTGTGGCCAAGGTAAGCACCGACCAGCTGTGACGGACTGAATCCTCATCACACCACTGTCTGGTAGGTACAAGCATGCACATTTGGCTAAATTACTTGCTTAAGTTCACCCAGCTAGTAAATGGTCACAAGCAGGAAATGATTGAGCTAGAACTTGAAGTCAGATCTGTCGGATTTTAAAACCTGTGATCTTAACTCCCAAGACGCCTTCCTCTATATGTGTCTTCCCCAGTAACGAATCTGAGCTCTGCTTACCCGCTCTGCCATATTGTCTGAGAATTTTGCTTCCTCCAAAAGCAGATGAGCTCCTCATTACAACAGCAGGGGAGGAATTAGGTGACAGCTGCCTTCAAGCAAAGCTGTGATGTTCAAGAGAGTAAGATCAAAAATCTTCAGGTGGAACTTGTAGAGAATAGATTTGAACTCTCTACGAAGAAGAACTTTCTATTACCTAGAGCTGTCTAAACATAGAGAGACACTGCATTGTAGAGTGGGGTGTTACAGGTCGGGAAAAGTGTTCAAATGGAGTCCAAACAACTGTTGATTGAAATGGTACAGGAGAGATTCAGACATCTGGTAGGGACCTTCATCCAGCTCTGCCATTCCAGCATGCTGTGACTGCTTGCTCAAGATCAAAATCTGGGCCTGAGCGCCCATTTTGGCCCTCGCTATTAGGCGTTTGGTTACTGAGTGCTGAATGTCTCGTGTGAGAATGCAGTCTTAACTACCAAGTGGCCCCACAACATGGGGCAAGCATAAGATTCCGGGAGGAGTCTGGGCTTGTTGTGCTCATCCCCATGAGATAGCCAGAGGAAAAACCGGTGTGTCACCTGAATGGTAAAGGGGACGGAGACATGGCTAAGAGCTCAGGCTGTGACGTCAGGCTGCCAGGACACATCTCATCTCCATTGCTTTGAAGCCGTGACTTTGAGCAAGATGCTTTACTTCTCTAAGCCTCAGATTTCCCATCTAAAATGAGAGCTAGCTGAGGTAACCCACAGAACCTCTGAGCAGAGGGCTTGGCACAGAGGAAGCACTTTAAATAAAAGCCATTTGGTAATAATCTGGTGTTTTGTTTTTAGGGAAGTCCCAGTTTGATGTGAAATCAGATCTATATGTTTTATAAAACTAAGTTATCAAAGCATTATATTAACCAATGTCTTATTTAATTTGCTTTGAATTACTGGTATTGAAAAGATTACCAACAAAAATTAAAAATGCGATGATGCCTGTCTCATTTTTAGGCCATTGTCTCTCAGCTCCAAATCTACCGTTCTGTGATGGGCTGGTTCTATGAGGTTGCGGCTGGGACTGTGCAAACCCCATCTTTCTTGTCAGCTGGCTCCATGTTAGGCTCTGCCAGTAGGGGGCACTAGAGGGAGATTGCGAGACTGGAGAGAGGAGAAGGACTTGCTCCTTTTGGTCAGCTTGCTGATACCATCAGGGTCTTCTCACTAATGGTTCTTCACTTTGGCAGCCGTGGTTGCTTCCAATCTCCAGCTTTTCTTTTTAACTTTTTTTTTTCCACAACCAGGCGTAGCCTCATCACCCCTTTCAGAGCCACCAGTACCAGCCAGGAACATCTTTTCAGAGGTCCGAGTCCCAGCTCTGCAGGGATTTTCCTAGGAACTCCTACAGGCGACTGACAGCACCCCATCCTCAGAGATCTCTTTTCCGGCTCCATGGGGACTCCTGCTCCAGACTTGCAGGTTTCAACAATTCCAACTCTGTTCTTCTGTTCCCCAAGCCTCCAGCGTGGGACATGCGTCCTGCAGTTACTCTCTCTGGGTTATCTCAGTGTTCTTGTTTTGCTTTTTAGCCTTCCGATGCCTGTCAAACCAATGCCCTATATTAAATTCTTTTCGTCGAAATTCCTAGTGTGCTTTCCTTCTACCTGACTGGACCCTGACTGATACACTGTCCAATTAAAGTGAAGTGTAGAGAATAGGGACGCCCCTACACTGCTGGAGACATACACTTTCTGAAGGGAAATTTGACAACAGTGTGAAAAAGTCTTTAAGGTGTCCAAATCATTTGACCCAGCATTTCTATTTTTTTAGGAAAGAGAGACACATAAAGATGAATGCACTAAGATGTGCATCACAACACTGTTTGTGCAGAAGAGACTTAAAACAACATGAAAGTCCTGTAACAGGGGAGTGATAAAGCATAACAGAACATTATGCAGCCACTAAAATCATGTCAGATGAGAAAATTCAAAAACACGGGTAAATGTTCATAATCTAATAATTGTAAAATCAGTTTACAAAATAATAGTTACTGTATGACACCAATTTTGACAGAGAAGACTAGAAAGATATGTGGCAAGTCCAGCATAATAGTGAATATCACTGATTGTTGGGTTTATGCATGATTTCTATTTTTGTCTTTGTGCTTTTCTGTATTTCAGAAGTTTTCCATAATAAGCATGAATTAGTTTGTAACCATGAAAACAAATTATTTTTAAAAAATTATCTTGAGGGGCTAGCCTGGTGGTGTAGCAGTTAAGTTCACGTGCTCTGCTTTGGGGGCCTGGGGTTCACAGGTTTGGATCCTGAGTGTGGACATACACAGTGCTTGTCAAGCCGTGCTGTGGAGGCGTTCCACATGCAAAATAGAGGAAGATTGGCACAGATGTTAGCTCAGGGCCAATCTTTCTCCCCCCAAAATAAAAATAAATAAATAAATAAATAAATAACTGAGATGGCAGCATGTGGACTTGGTGAAAAGCTATGATTCAAAGGCAGTAAGTTTGCTCTGAACAAGCCAAACAGCAGTTGAGCACGTTTTCTGATAGTGACAGCACAGGGCTGAGGAACAAATGCTTTTATATTTTATGTAAAAGTCATATCTCACTGCCAGGCAAGACTCCACTGAAGTGGGCCTCCTGCGCTGAGGGATGGAAGGGGCTGTGCAATTCTGCCTGGTTTTGATAACTTACTGAAGCTGACTCTGGGGAGGGAGTTTGTCCTGCCTCGCAGGGTCCTTTCCGATGATGTCATGTGACCTGTGCTAGGATGACAGTTGTGAGAGCTGAAGCCACTGTCATGGCTTGGTGAAGGGAGGTGTGAACCCCTCAGCCTTCCCTTAAAATGCATCTGAGGACACCAAAGCCTCATTGTTGTTTCAGGAATTAAATTAAATCATGCTCATGAAAGTGCCTTGAACATCATGAAACACTATAGAAAGATCAGTGTTCTTGTTCCCATTGGCTGTGCTGCTAACGGCAGGAGTTAATTAATTTCTTCTCACTGAACCATCATTTTCTGGTTCCACGCTGAGCACACTGTTGGTCCAGTATATGGGTCAGTAACCCTGAAATCTCAGTGGCTTCACACGACAAAGTTTATTTTCTCTCATGCTATGTGTAGGTGGAGGGTTCTGCTCCATTCAAGCCTCAGGCTGATGGAGGCTTCATCCTTTTGAACCTGTACCACCTGGACTATGAGGCAGTCTTGGTCACTGTGGCAGGGAAGAGGGCACTGGGAGGTCTTGTACCAGCAATTAAATGCTTTGTCTCAAAAATGATACCCATTACTGCTGGTCATAGCCCATTGGCAAGAACCAGTCACATGGTGCCACCTAACTGCAGCAGGGGAAAGAGAAACTCAGGGGAGCACATGGATCTGGGGGAGCATTCCTGTTCCTGCCATGCCCAGGATCACTAAGTGCTGGCCGATGATAGTGGGGACTCCCAGTCAAGGGGTGTCACTGCCTCTGCACGAAGCCTGGGGGCAGAGATGAGTGAGGTCCAGACCCCTGCTCTTCCTAGAGGAGAAGCTCCAAGAGGAAGGCCACACCCTACGGTGGGCAGGCCATTCTGGGGCCTTCCTAGAATTCCAAGCTCTGGGCATGGTCCTGGGGACAAGAAGATCTGATCCCCCTGAAATACCTCTGTACCAACTGTTCCTCCTCTCAAGCGTCACAGAGGGGAAGGTCCTTTATAAAACGTCAAACGGCTGTCCTAAGTTCGGGTCAGGCGCCCTCCCTGCTCCCACTGTCTTCTGTGCCTCCTTGCCCCTCAGAGCGTGTGTCCTTCTGTGTTGTAAGGCTCTAATCACTGTGCGTAACTTCCCCTGGACTGTAAGTCCTGTTGGAGCAGGAATCGTGTAGGTCGTAATCACCCTTAACACAGCACCTGTACAGTAGGCACCGGTAAGTGTAGAATAAAATAGAAATCAAATGTAAGTTGATATTATTATTAATATTATTAAGCTTTTATGCTGTTTGGGTAACTATGATATGAATCTTCTGCCACAAAGACCCTTCTCCACCCTACAAGCTCCCAACTACATGTCTCTTCAATATGAGAAGGATAATACGGTTGTTAAGGAGTCAGACTACCTGAGTTCAACACCCAGACATATATGAGCTGTGTGACCTTGGGCAAGTTACCAAACCTCTCTGTGCCTCAATTTCCTCATCTGTGCAATGGGGCTTATAATGATTTCTACCTTATAGGTGGTTATGAGGACTAAATATGCACTTCAAAGAGTACTGGCATGCAACAAGTGCTCAGAAGTGCTCATTGTTATAATAGCTCAGTCTCCTTGAACCCCTTGCCTCCATTGCCCCTTCCCTGTGTCCCTACACACTTGAGAGGTAGTCTGTCAGAGTCCTTCCAACCAGCCTTTTGCTTCCCCTAGACTCTTCCAAAAGTGGTGTCAGGCTCACTCAAGAACAGACTGAGGATCTCAATGAGACCGGAGAGGGGTCCTGTGATGGTTCCCAGCAGAGGTTCCAGGGAACGCCAGGTTCTGAAGTGTCCCAGGCGAAACAAATAGTTCGGCAGAGAATTAAGTTTAGAGAAGCCAGACAAACTTTACACAATTTGTGTTAGAACATTAAAGGCTTTGAGAAGCCTTTCAGTAAAGAAACCCGTTTAATTTGTTTAGCCCGATGTATTCCCAATTTGCTTGTATTTTGTTTGTCTGTTTTCTAGCACATTCATAGCACCTTGTTGAACACAAGTGTTGACAGCTACATATGCACTGAGCCTGGGGGCCTGGGGGCTGGGGTTAGACAGGCCTGCTCGCCACCTGCCACTCAGCAGGTGTGTGATCTTGAGCAGGTCCCTCAGCCGGTGGGATTCTCAGCTTCCGATTTGTAAGATGCACTTACAGCTGACTGCGCTGCATTGTAAGGGATGAATAACACAACATGGACTCACCCGCCTGGCCCCTGTGGGTGCCTGGACCTAGTCCACCCCGACCCTTGCCCTGGCACTCCCGTGTGCTGGCAGACACGCCCAGTGCTCCTGGCTCGGGTAGGTAACGGCAGCTACAAGGAAACAAAGAACGTACCTGGTCAGTGGCTGCCACCCCCACGCTCCTATGCAGGTGCTGCTTTTCTTAGTTTGATACTGATTAGCTTTTCCACTTTGGGTAATATTTGGAACCCGCACGCGTGTTTATTGGTTGTGAGCGTATGGGGCAGGAGAGAAGGCAGGGGTTGCAGGTTTCCCTGCTTCTGGGGAGAAGCGAGCCTCTTCTCATCGACAAACATTATTTTTATCCCCAGGAGCCCTGATGTTCTTCTGTTTCCGTGGATTGGAAGAAGTCAGTTTGAGAGAGCACGCTTCTGCTTCCGGCAGTTTTATTTTCTTTTATATCAAACATCTTGTATCATCTACTCATTTCCAGCTGGAGATCTGGGAACCTTGCCATCCTTGAATGTGCGTGCTGAGTTTTGTTTTGGTTTGGTTTCTTACCGAGCACCAGCTTCCTCTGCTGCCTGAACAGCTGTGTTTGGTTTTTGGCAAGCGTCTCCTGGAGCTTAGAACTGCCTCCCCGGGAAAACTCAAGTTTCTTGAATGACAAAAATCTTGGAAAATTTGCTTCTTGCCGCTGAGAAGTAATCTGTAACCATATATCCTTGATGCTAATAAATACAAGAAAATCCTATATTTTAGTTATAACTTGGGATTCACTTTTGTCCACAAGGGGAGACATAATGGCAAGAACGAGGGAATTGATGAAAACGGCAGCTTATTTGTGTCTTGTAGTTTTTATTCAAAAATATTTATTAAACTCTAGCTGTGCACAAAAGGGTGGGTGAAAGCATGAACATCAGTCCAGGAGATGAGAAAGAACGGATATTTACCTCGAGGAAGGGTTTGAAGAGGAGCGTCAGGATTTTATTTGCAAAGAATTGGGAGCTGTTGAAGATGTTTGAGCAAAGGCAGAATGTAATAAAATGGTGCCTTAGGAAAATTAATCAGGCAGTAATGAATGGGATGAATTGGAGAGGAAGAGAGAAGGGAAGAAATTAGGAGACAACTGTAACAATCTAGGCATGAGGTAAGCAAAGACTGAACTGGGACGACCAAAGAGAATCTGAACAGAGCCTGAAGAGTGACCAGGCTTGAAGACTGTGCTGTCGGCCGTTGGTTAGCGGGGACTGGGGTCAGCAATGGCTCCAGGATACCCAGGGCACATCCTCCGGTACTGCCAGTACCTGATGATTTCCAAATCTTTGTCTCCAGCCTTTTGTTCTCTCTCGAGTGTCAGACCCATGTAGGTTCTCTTACAGGTCTTACTCAAAATGCCTAAAACAGAACTGTTCATCCTCGCTCCCAAAATTGCTCCTTCGCCTTTCTTTTAATTCTCTCCTTCTCACATGATGGTGTTTCTGAGGTAACCGGTAACATCTCTGTCCCCTCTGGATTACAAACCAGAAGTAAGCACAGGGGTCAGATAGGCAGCCGGGAGCAGGTGAATGTTTAACAACTGGGTCACAAAGTTCCAGAACATTTAAGCTTTGTTTTCGTTAGCTGGCTCTAGCTGGCTTCAACACACCACTGTGACCTGAGTCACTAGATCAGCTTCATTACTAGTAAACTGGAGAATTTGGCTTGATTCTTTAGCTCCTTTCTTTAGGACACCTCTAAGTTAATGGAGAAGTTTATGATATAATCACACGATGAGGATGGAGTAGCCATCATGGTCATCTGTAAAGATGTCAGGCCTTATGAGATGCTTTAACAGCCATCCTCTCGCTCACTCTTCAGAGCATCCTGGAGGATATTTAACTTGCCCCTCTTACAATCTCCTGCTGGAAGAATTTTAAGGGGAGAGGGGAGGGTAGAGGCAGAAATGATGCTCACAGAGCAGGGAGCCTGTCCAGGGTCAGGAGGGGTGGGCCGGAACACTGAGAGCCGACAGCCTGAGGTGGCATTGGGAAGCCATGGAGACATTCCCAGCAGGACAGTGGCAGGAGCAAGTCAGCCTATTGCTGATGTGACAACAGTCTGGAAAGGGGACACCTCGGAGATGCAGAGATCCACAGCTATGAATCCAGCTGGGAAACTACTGCAGTTGGCAAGGAGAGAGCTGATGGAAGCCTAAACTGGGACTATTCAGTGGTTCATTCATTCACAAATATTCATTCTGCAGATACAACGCTCCAGGCACTATTCCACACGATGAGAATACCAGGGAATAAAATAGACTATCCCTCCCCTCGTGGAATTTACATTCTAATCGAGGGAAACAGACAATAAATACAATTAGTAAACCAACTAGAGTAGGCCAGATGGTGCTAAGTGCTATGGAAAGAAAGAAAGGGGATTTGGTGGGGTTGGGCTGGCAGTTTTAACTAACATGTCAGAAGGCCTCACTGAGGAGGTGACATCTATGCAAAGACCTGGAAGAAGCCGATGGCAGGAGGAACGGAGGCTGTGGACTAAGGAGGAGCGTCATAAAGAAACAACTTTAGAAAGAGAGACCCTCACAATCATTTAGACAATGAATTGGAAAACAATAGGATCACAATCAAAATTGTAAAATATATAGAATTAAACTGAATTTGAAGTGTGTTTGATCTTTATGGTTTGAAGAGTCAGTTGAATTTTTCAGTTTTTCTTTACTAGATTTTATGGGGCAAATTTTATGCTATAGTAGGATTTGTAATTGCAGGGTTTTGAGATGGTCTTAGGTCCGAGTGAAGTGAATAGCAAGCAGAGGCTGATAATATGCTTCAAAATTCCCTGATTGCTCCCAGCCCCTTAGGAATGGGCCTTTCCCCCACTCCTGCTATAGACATTTATCACCAAGGTCACCCATACTCCCCTAGTGGATGCTGTGGTGTGCTGCCTAGACCCCCCCTTCAGGACTGAGGCACTCACGTCCTCTCCGGCTGAGCGTGTTGCGAGCTGGTGGCTCACTGCCAGAGGGAGCCACCTGGTCTAAGGTCGGGACCCTCCCTGGGGACAGCTGCATCCAATTACCGGTGGTGGGGGTGGGATGGGTATGAAGGCCAGGCCACCTTGTTTCAAGGGGCAACAACTCTGAATGAGCCCGTTGGCTCCAGAGCATCCTGTGGGATTAGCAGAGGCCTGCGTCACGACTGCCTTGTGGACCAACTGTTCCCTCTACCTAGTCCACTTCCTCCACTCCTCCACAGAAACCAACAATCCCAAGCTCATCCGCAGTAGTCTTCCCGCACACGAATCCCATTTCAGGGCCAGCTTCCCAGGAACTGGCCCTAAGAACACAACTTTGATGCTTATCCTATTTCCATTATCTTCTGCCCCTAACTACCTTTCTTTGTGTAGACAAGCAGGATTTGTCTTCCTACCTAGGTCATAACCTTCTCAAAGGCAAGGAGACCATCTTTGACCTCTTTGTGTGCCCTAGTGGTCCTTGCACATAGATGACATAGATGACAGTCCCTAATGACAGTCTTAAGAACACCTTTTCTGCTTCTGTCCAGAGAGACCAGGGAGAATTCTGTGGGTGACAAACCCCTAGTGCATCGAAGAGGAGAGCTCAGGCCCACAGTTGTGCCAAATCATTTCTCTAAAGCTGGTTTTGCCGGGGGTGTGGCAAAAACACTCTTTTATTCCCTGCCAGAAAGTGAAAGTCTTTTCTCACCACCTGGGAGGAAAAAGGGGTTCAACCGCCCAGGCCCAGGAGAAACAATCTCACATTGCTGAACATGTATGAAACTTAGTTCTTGATGCAACAACTCTGAGAAACATATTTTGAATGTGTGTTTCTCAAAGAGAATAACTCAGGCGGAGGGGAGCAGGGACTCACTTTCAACACGGGAGTCTTTTTTTATAAAGTTTTGTGAACAATTGTTTACTTTCTAAGAATAATATAAAATTTCATATTGAATGTTTTAAAATTGTGGAGACAATAGTTGAGCTTCTAGTTATATGCTAAAAATGTGTGATTATATTTAACCACAATATTTTAACTCGTATAAACTATATGCTACTGTGATACAAAAGGGCCTGGCTCCTTTCAAAAGTTTTCCGAGGGGCCGCCCGGTGGCGCAGCAGTTAAGTTTGCACATTCTGTTACGGCCCGGGGTTCACCGGTTCGGATCCCGGGTGCAGACATGGCACTGCTTGGCACACCACGCTGTGGTAGGCGTCCCACATATAAAGTAGAGGAAGATGGGCAAGGATGTTAGCTCAGGGCCAGTCTTCCTCAGCAAAAAGAGGAGGATTGGCAGTAGTTAGCTCAAGGCTAATCTTTCTCAAAAAACGAAAAAAAAGTTTTCTGAGGTAGCAGGTTACTTAGTTTCAGAAGACATAAACCTGTGTACTTCTAGGAAGTCTGAGCTCTATTAGAAAAAGCAGAAGAGGGTCCAGCAGAAAGAACATTGGCTGAAGGAAGAGGTTTGCTTGAGGCAGACTGGGAGGAGCACATGGGGAGAGGAGGGGGAGAGTTCCAGGGAAATCCAAGAGGAGGCTGGCAGCTCTGAGAGGAAAACTCTAAATTCTAGATGGCAGAGTCTCCTGGGGCGTGGTGGTTGTTTTAGCTTGAGCTGCTCTAACAAAAATACCATGGACTCAGGGGCTTAAACAACAGAAATTTATTTCTCACAGTTCTGGAGGCTGGGAAGCCCGAGATCGAGGTGCTGGCCAGTGAGGTTCTGGTGAGCGCCCTCTTCCTGGTTTGCAGACAGTCACCTTCCTGCTGTATCCTCACACGGCAGGGAGAGAGGGGATGTCTCTCTCGTCTGTTCTTATAAGGACACTACTCCATTCACGAGGGCTCCATCTTCATGACCTAATGGAATTCCAAAGCCCTCGCCCTCCACGTCCCATCACATTGGGGGTTAGGGCTTCGCTATGTGAATTTTGGGAAGACACAAACATTCAGTCCCTAACAATGGGTAAAGAGCAAAAGCAAATCCAAACAAACATAAATATTTGTTCTCTACTTAAAATTTTGGCGTACAACCCTTGCTACACAAGAGAACTACCTGAGTTTTTAAAACATCAGGGACCAGACTCCATCCCAGACAAATAGAATCTGAATCTCAGAGGGTGGGGGTGGGGCTGGGTGTCTGAGTCTTTTACGAGCTCCGCTCCGTAGTTCTCCTCCTGCGCTGCCCAGGCTGAGAAGCTGCTGGTTTCACGTTTCACTGTGGAGGGCTGCCATTGCTGACTCTACTTTGTACCCCTTTATATAAAGCTAAAAAGATATGGAGACATAGAACGCCTTCCTACTCCGTTTTGAGATTTGGACTTGATAAATGGAATCACTACTTTCAGTTCGTGGAGTGTTGTCCTCAATACTCTGGATAACTCAAATTGGCACCACCCAGCACTTGCCAGGTGGCATCAAGCAGGGCATCAGGAGAAGGCGTCCCCCACTTCGAGTACTAGCTCCGCTTCATCACCACCTGTGAAACCATGTTCCTGATGCCTCAAGGACACACGGCCACATGTTTCTCTCATGTACCTAGGCACCATCTTGGGGGTGTTATACTTCCTGGAGTTACCCAAGCAGAAACAAGAGTTACCAAATGGGACACTTTAAATGATTGGATTGGACTGAAATGGCCCCAGGGAACTAAACTTTAGTTCTTTCCCCACATTCCAGCAAGAGAAAAGAAAATCAGTTCTTCTGTAGACAAAATAGCAAAGCTCACCTTCTCTCTGGCC